TCCCACCTAGCCCCGTTGTCTGAAAGCAGGACAATGCCCCTGCTCCTCGTGAGTCAGAACACTGATCGATTCCGTACAAGAAAGTCGGGGACCGTTTAAGGAAAAGTAACAATGTCGGTATGATTGTTACAGACTAGTAATTATCCCGTCTTACATGCATACCCATTACCCACCCTTTACTGCCTAAAATACAAGGAATTCGGGGTCGGGGTGATCCGAACCCCGAGCGTCTCTGTTATCTCCAACGATCAACCATGGACCCGGTCTGGCTCTCGTATTCGCTCTGGAATGCTGAACGTGATTGGGTTAGAGGTTGTTGCCTAAGCTTTCACTCTATCTCGGTCCAGGCTTGATCTTAACAGGAATTAGCAATCGTGGTGATTTTCATGTGGGTCGTTAAAACTCATACGGCGGTTTATTCCACTTCCTATCTTCTCTGATCAGTCTTGAAGACGATAGAACTACTTCAGTATAATGAGTAAATGGACTGCCGATAACTCGTTCGGGTTTCCAACCAGCCCACGATAATACCTCAGCACAAGATCCCATCAGGATGCGGCTATCCTGCATGGACTGGCTCCGCCCCTCCATATTGGACCCCCATTATGTTTCATTATTACACGGGATGTAAAATTCCCCGGTCTGGTCCCATCACCGTGACTCCTCAAACACGAGGCTCGACAAAGCGATCCCGGTCAGGCGCGGCCGGGTAGACTCGTCCAACGGACCGGTAGATTCCCGCCCGAGCGAGTGGGACTGGAAAGGAAACGCTGTTGACTCAGAATGGCTCTGCGGCAGCTCAGGGTCTCGCATCCGATGCACGGATGGCTTCTCGATTGAAGCGGGATTTTCTAGAAGGTGGCGTTAGTGGCTGGGTCCAGTCTGGCCATGTGATCTATCGATATTGTATGAGGCGACTGTTTTATCGACGTGTCCACCACTCAACCACACGAATGCATCTCTAGGTTGTATATCGAGTGCTCAGGGCCCTCTTTTTTCAGCGCAAGGGAAATTTAACGTTGGAGTAAGAAACTCCTGCGCGGAGTTGCAAGCAGGCAGAAGTACCTGATGAGGTGTCCATGCAGCCTAGCACTACTAGGGAAAAGAAAAAGAAAAGAAAAAAAAAAAAGTGTCTGCAGCATCAACACCTATTCAGGCCATTACGGTCAGTATTCGTGCGTACATTCGGAATATGTAGGAAACAAAAAAGCAAAAAGGAAATGCTCCCACTCGGATTCGAACCGAGGATCTCATCATAACTGAGCATACTAGTGATGCGCTTTACCAACTAAGCCATAGGAGCGGATATCTAGTGTCACTCTAATTTGATCTATATTCTCGGTACCCCACAACTACGGTAAGGTTAAAGAAAGACAAAAAAGAAATGCTCTCACTCGGATTCGAACCGAGGATCTCATCATTACTAGTGATGCGCTTTACCAACTAAGCCATAAGAGCTGATTGGTTGATATAGCCTTCCTGTAGGCTTATAGTCCAGGAAATTAGTAGTTCACTTGGTCGCCATTTTGTCAACCTGTTAAACTACATGCAACATGTATCCTTTTGACTATATACCCAATCCTGACAATACTTTACGAAGATTAATATCCAGAATGTACATGCATAATGAGTTGTTTTACTACCGGCCATAGCCGATGCTCCATGTTGCAGACCAACGGATGACGCAGGGGGTGAAATATATATTATGCAGCCTAGGGCTGAACCTCACAGTTCCACCAACTTGAGCCTGGGCTCCTTGTCCAACCATGCAATTATGAGATCTAGAACATAACCGGGCCCCAACAAGCAGGGTTTTGACCAAGTCATATGGCCTGTGACACAAACAAGTCAAAAACCCAGTTGTATATTCAATATCTCATGTACTACGAGTGCCCCGCTCCTGTCGCACCAAAATAGGCGGAGTACAAAACACGGTGGATGACTGAAACATATGCTCAGTTCTAGCCGAATAGTTACACACGGGATGTAAGGGACAAATGCACCAGAGAAGCAGGTTCTTGAGTCTAAGGTACTCGGGGTAGAGGGACAGGCAAAGAGGTAGTAAGTAGGTGCGGGAAGACCGATGGAAATGGTCACGATGTTGATGAAATCGATGACTCTTGAAACCATAAGAAGTGTTGCGAATCGTTAGTTACAAAGATGACAAGAAAACACGAAGAATCAGAAAACAACATGTGAGAGAGAACTAAGTACCTCAGCTGACACATTTTCTGACTGCATCTCTCGCAATTACACTCTACGTACCATAGCAGATGACAAAACTCGATTTTCGAGATATAGCAAGTCATCTATGTATACCTGGCCAAAAGAATTTGACACACACTTAGTAGCTCGGTATGATTTGCTACAACTACCTCATTACTGGATATATATCAACACATTCGGCATATTTATTCATCATCCATACCAGCCAACGTTATCACAGGAGTGTAGGGTTCCGTCACAGGTCTACCTGTAGAAGACTGTAAACCCAGTCGAGGACAAATAAGGAAGAAGGAGAAGAAGAAGCATGCCGCCCTCTCCATCTCTTCCCATTCACCACCATACATCGAAAAGGGAAGTCGGAAAGGAAACGAGCTTCCATGGAACTAGGAACTCTACAAGGAGATTATGGTTGATCATGCGTTGCCAGCCCTGGAAGCCACCTAAACCATCAACCAGGCATGCCCACATGCTCGCCACGGGGTTGGTATCCCAAGCAATTACCAAGAACCACGACCCCCTGGCCGCCACCAGTCTTCCATCAAGGGGTTTCCGGGTGTACCCAACCTCCAAGAGCCGGGAAGCAATGACGCCACCCAACCGCCTACCAAACCAAACCAAATAGTGCTCCGGGTTCCGAAGTATGCTCAGTTCCCCGGACAGCATTCCACCGCACTCCGGGATACCTAGCATGAAGGCCAATGCAACGTTGCGTAATGTGCATTAAAAGTATTTCTCCACTCCAAAAAAAAAAGACCCGATGGAGGAAAAAAACAAAAAGAAATGCTCCCACTCGGATTCGAACCGAGGATCTCATCATGACTGAGAATACTAGTGATGCGCTTTACCAACTAAGCCATAGGAGCTGATTGGTTGATGTTGGGGTTTTCTATTATGATAATTGATAGCCATTGAGTGATTTGAACCGTAGTGCCACCCTAGGCTGAGTCCTATGCCAGGAAATCGATGGCATACATGACCTGGATAGCAGGAAACATAGAATTCTTCTGTTTATGCAGTCATAGATGACAGAACATGCATGTCAGCAAAAGGAGTCAGTTTAACAGGCCCCATGGGACTCAGATAGTGATGGCCTGGTCTTACCTATCATTCGGATGGGAGAAGTATAAACATGTCTGTTTCCCAAGTACGTTTTGAATACCTATTTTCATATCGGTGAGTACATCATTTTATGCGCCATCTAATCTATTCGATTTACTATTAAGCGAGACTGACTTGTTTCCACCGAAAAGTGCACGCCAGAGGTTACACCCGGCCAGGCCATGATCAAATAGATCCATTCAAGTAAGGCGCAGGGTGGCTCTTTGTTATCGTCCACATCATACCAAGGATTTCCCTCTACTGTATTGTTTGCTTGGTACAACCGAGAGCATCGTTACCTCTACAACATTGATAGCAAATGATTATCGGCGAACCTATCTATCTAATCCTACTGGGGTGCAAAGATGTGTGCAATATTGGAGCCCACCAAGCAAATCTTTTTATCTAGGTCGCCTGCTTTTTGAGCGGCATTGGGACCTTCCACGGTCAATGTCTGCGAGGAATCCATAGGCCCATTTTACGAACCCACGAGGATGGCTTGGAGTCCTGAAGGATGATTGATATTCAAGTTGCTCTTGGCGACTTCATAGAAACCTGTATTGCCTCAATCTAGGCTCTCTACAAGGCTTGACTATGAGAAAGACTGCCCCGTTCTAGGAGTTATACTCCAGTCCGGCGGGGAGATTAGCAGATAGACTGAACCTAGATAGTACTGTTACTTTTGTTGCGCCCTCTGTATTCTAGGAACCGAGTTTACCGCACAACTGATATCATACCAACCGCTGAGTGTAATTTAGAGCAGGGCCCAGTTTGGCAGGCCCGTGATAACACGAATATCACAAAAACAGCAGGCCCATCCAGCCCATTCTGTTCACTACGAGACCATGATAAAGGAAGACAAAGATGGGACCCAAAGTCTAGATCAATATAGTCGTAGACTGTCAGTTCATAGCAACAGCAGTGACCATACTTGAGCCATGTCATTGCATAAACAAAATGATTAGAGACAGTTTGAGCTCTTGAAATTTCCCATGCCAGTGATGGAATCTATATATCTATCAAATGATATATGGCCGCCTGCCGGCCCATGACGACCCAGCAAATCCTGACGTCTCGATGTATTCAAAACCTACCCCTCAACAGACGTGTGGTAATGCTGCCGTAAATTGTGCTTCAGCAGTGGGTACGTAGTGGGCTGGCAAAAGTTGCAAGGGGTTGCTAGCGGTTGTACGATTGTTGCCACCGGTTGCCATCGGCTGCAGCTGGTTGCAGCTAGCCGTGAATTAGTTGCAGATGATTGCAGACCATTCATGACTACTCCGTACATAAGACCAGTTCTAAGAATATCGAACTATTGACCAAGTTTGATATAGTAATATGTTTATTATCGTACTATTTACGTTTGTATTGACTAGTTATCAAAGTATTACTTTTCTACCACCCTATTATTGACTAGAGGGACCTTCATCATATACTGACTATTCAGTTGCGCATTGAGAAGCCATATAGGAGATATCTTTATAGCATTTTGGTTCAGTCATAGAGGACGACTATACTTGTAGACTGCTGTACTATAGCGCTCCTCTTCAACTCCGAGATCCCACATTCAAAATGTAGACGCCCACTTCAACTGGCCTGTACCTAGCCAGTCCAAGAAGCCCAAAAAGTAAATAAGGATACTACTGTATAACGAAGGCAAAAAAACAAAAAAGAAATGCTCCCACTCGGATTCGAACCGAGGATCTCATCATAACTGAAGCATACTAGTGATGCGCTTTACCAACTAAGCCATAGGAGCGGTGTTGAAATTTAGGCTTCTTATTCCAATATAGGACACGCTACCAAGGTCCAGCCAGAAAAGCACACTTTCCCCTAAACGGAACGCAGCATCCGTCTCGACCAATGACCACCCGCCCAGATCTCCCGCCTCAGGCCACCACACCATCACATGACCCCACAGAAGCGAACCGGCTAAACCCTGTCCGCACAAAAAAACCACCCGACGAATGGGCCCTTGAAGACAGACCGGTCGACAACCTCACTATCGCCAGTCCATCTACCAGCTCGCCATCGCGAAAAGTTGTCAAGATGCCGGTTAGTACCCCCTACGCCATGTGACATCAAGGATCAATCTTCTCCAAATGAATCGCCAAAAATGAACGAACCACCCTGACAAGACGGCCTGCTGATTTTTTTCCTTTTCGATATATAGAGCCACAAGAGTTTCCGCACCAAGCAGAAGCTTGCCAAAGCCCAGAAGCAGAACCGTCCCATCCCCCAGTGGATTCGTCTGAGGACCGGTAACACCATCAGGTAAATACATCTGCCTTATCTCCCCTCGGATTCGGATCTTCGATCGGTCGGTATATGTGGTGGATTGGATGGATGGATGGACAACGACCTACATCTCGCTTTCGACCAAGTATCAGCCACAACAAGGCACGAGGAAACAAAGAACCAGCCAAGCGAGGGAGAGAAAGAAATACGAGCGAAAGAAAGAACCACCACCACATACAGCCGATTGAAGATCCCCAACCGAACCAAAGGAGGACACTACAGAACGGAAAAATGGACACAGCTGACTCGATATCCTCTCTCCCAGATACAACGCTAAGCGTAGGCACTGGCGCAAGACCCGCCTGGGTATCTAAACAACTCGCATCGTCACCAACACATTCTCTCCGCCGCCCCTCCCCATATCTTTCTCCCTTTTCGATCGAGATGTGCTCCGACCTGCAATTGTTTTTCGTCCCACGGTGATACCGCATACCACACAAAAATGTCTCGCGACCTCGGCCGTTCTGCTTGTCAATTAAATCAAATCAATATGGGCTAGTTGTCTGGGCTCTCGTTTTCATTCTATTGATCTGAGCCATCCTTTGTCTTTTCCCTTCGAACCGCAATCACAAAACGTCTTTGTTCTTCCGCCCCGGGTCGATCTGTCAATTTTGAGCATTGCATTATATATCATCTCTAAGGAAGTGCATATGTAATGGAATGCGCGACTCGGCATTGTTTTCTTCGTCGGGTTATGGGCGCAGGGTGTTTAGTATCATGTTAATGTCAACGGGGACTCAGAGAGTCGAACTCGGATTGATTTATGTACGCGAGCTTTTTTGAAGATAAAATCAAAAAAATTATGATGGATAACGAGCTGGAATGATTCTCCTTTCCTATCCTTCTTTTCTATGTTCGTGCTTTTTTTTTTCGTAAGGCTGAATTATCTTCTATGGCTCTCTCCATGGTAATCTTGGTATACGTAGGTCGCTGTAACTTAGTACCGTTTGCGCGTGCTGGGTAGAGGGTAGTATTTCGAACAAGACGGGAGTTGTGCCCGCGGTCTGGTGAACAAGGTACCCCTCCCCTGTTATGTGCAGGGTCAACGGGCCGTGTGGTCTTGTCTAACACCCGGGTGTTGCATTACAGAATACAATCAATCAATGTAGAGACGAACTACGCAATAGCTTACGGCGATCGATTGTAGATAGACAATTGGACCAAATAAAATTTCATCGTTTTTCTCATGTAAAGCTAAGCGGACAACAGCCGACACGGGGTTGAAAGATGGCATGGAATCAAAGTTCATTGAAACCATCCCCGTCCAACCAGCCATACCAACCCCAGACTCGAAGGAACTAAGAAACTCGAAGGAACCGAGACAGCAGTGCGACGAAAGCGCGCAAAGTCGCTGAGACCTAATCAACCCTGAACGCCATGAATCGAAACAGACGTGGAACCAGATGGAACAGAAGTAGAGACACCGTGAAGATCGGCCCATTTCCTATCGGCCAGGAATCGCTGAATTGCAAGCTGCCGGTCGGAGTAGGGTGTAGTGACATCGAGGAGGCGACATCTTTAGCGGCTGTTGCGGGGACAAATTAGCAAGATAGAGACAGGCGGGTTGCGCCAACTGATCGAGACAGGACTTACTCCTCAGCCCACTCGTTCTCACGACGGATCTGGTCCTCCTCCTCGGGGGTGAAGTCGTTCTGGATGTTGAAGGTCTTGCGGATCTCCTCGGGGGACTTGCCCTTGATCATGTTAGCCACGGTCTTGCAGCCAACATCCAGGAGACCCTTGATATCGAGGTAGTTCGCAGCCTACACCCCATGTTAGCCCGCCGCTCACCTGAGCCGGATGGATAGAAAATGACGAACCAGGATGATCTCGAACAGCATTTCCTGGTCAACCTGCATGAACTTCTGGTCCCACTCGTCGATATCGGTCGTCTTGCGACGCGAGTCATCGTCGTCGCCAGTGCTGGGGGGGTCGTTCTTATGGTAGGAGCACCACTCAATGACCTTTTTCAAGACGGCTTCGTTGACCTAAACACACATACAAAGTTAGAGTCGCCTGATTTAGTAGCCGTTTTGACATCCTCAGGACCAAGTATATGGAGGACTCACGTTGGGAATGGGGATGGCCTCGTGCGCATCACCCAGATCCTCCAGCATGTTCTTGATCAGCAAAGAACGCTCAGCGACATCGCGATCTATAGGCAAACACCACGTTAGCAATCCAGGATGAGTCCAGCGCCACGTTGAAGGCCCACTTACCGACGCTGATATCGACGCCGTCGGAGCTTTGGAACGTCAGGGTTTGGTTGGCAGCCATGATGAGAATCTGTACGTTTAAAACGATCCTTGAATCAGTAATGTTGAATGGTAGATTGTGTAGATAGAGCAAGATGACTCGAGAATAGGTAACCAGATCGAGAGGGGTACGGGGAAAACGAGGAGTGGGGACACGCAGAATGAAAGAGGAACCAAAATTGATGGAGATGAGACACGAGGAAGAGGGGAGGACACACCTGTATTTAACGTTCACGATCGCACTGGAAGGATCAAAGAGGAGTGAAAGAATGTAGTGAATGAGAGAGAAGAGACAAAGAGAAGTGAAGATGTAGTCAGTGACGAGAACTTTAGCGTGAGGCTCAGCCTTGTTACTAACAGTTCGAGGATGGAAGTGACTTAGTGCTCACTCTTGGTCATTGCCTGGTAGTAATAATGATGCAGTTCCGGATTGGGGTTTGCCCCCACTGAAGGTGCCTAGGCGGTGAGTCATTCTGCCTGGCCGCCTGGCTGCCTTGCTACCTGGGGCTGTGGCTGCCTGGGGCTGAAGGGGTGCCTGGAGGGTGCCTGACCGATTGGGCATCAGTTATGTCTCTTACTAATTATGTATCATCACGATCAGACCAGACAGACAGACTTGTACCTACTCCGGAGTAGTGAACTAATCCCTATAGTGTATTTTCCTGGTGGTGGATAGTTAGAATGAATCCAACTGATTGACCCACCTCGATTCATCGGGTAATTTCATTCCTCTCCACTTCAAAGCTTCATGACGGTGATATCACCCTCCGACGCGTCTGCCCATCGGTCAGTACAGTGAGCACTCATAGTGTCACGGCTCTTAAGCCTCTTAGCTGCATCAATCAGCTTCATTCCTAGACTTAGTCTGGTCAATCCGATCCATCCTTCCCACTCGCCCTCCGATGATCCTGATCTTCCCTTTCATTTGACCCCATTCCACCTCATCTTACAGGCTGTCTGATCTCCTCTCCTCCCTCCATCTCTATTTTAAATCACCTTCCCCTCTCTGCCCCTGCTTCTTTTCCCTTTCCTTTCCCCTTCCCTCCCCTTTCCCTTTTGGATGGCTTACAGGATCGTCTCTCCTTGATCGCCTCTTATATATCATATCCATCCTCCAATTCCCTTTCCTCTTGCATGTCATTGCACCAAGTCACAGCATGTTCCTCCGATATAAACTCTCCCTTTCGCCGTCCTCCATGCTGTGAAAAGAAAAGAGAAACCCCTTCCTTCTGTATATGCTGTTCTCGTGGTCCAACCACCTGGCCTGAGTCATGTGGAGACGAACATATCTACTCCTCCTGGTGATCCGTGTTTACTTTGCCCTCTCCCCCAGTTATCTTCATCCCGATGAAAACTTTCAGGGGCCTGAAATTTTCGCCGGTATGTTGACCTTCTAACTTTTCATTTTGTTTATTTTTTTTCCCCTCCCTTTCAACACCCCACCCACCCCTGACCGGAAAGGCCGGATGGTCGATCAGTCGCGGATGCGAGTAATCCCTCGCGCGACAGTCGGAAATGGGCGGGTAGTTGCTGTTGAGAGCGTCGCAAAGCCTTGATTTCGTCTGGTTCTTTATTGTATTATTTATTTCCTGAAACTTCTGATCGCGAAAATACTACGTATAAGAAAGAAAAAAAAAACTAAATGAACAATCCCAGGTCGAATCTTTTCCTTCCCCTCCAGATTACCATGGGAGTTTGTCGCCGAGAAGCCGATCCGCAGCGTTTTCCCATTATGGCCGACCTACGACGTGCCGATGAGCCTGTTGAAATGGTTCTACACCGAGACCGGAACCGCGAATCCTCCCCCGCAGCTGGTCTACCACCTGATCCGCGGGTGTATGTTTCTGTTGAGCTTTGTCCTGGAAGACTGGGCGGTCTATGAGTTGGTGCCCTTCCCGCGCCAGCGTCGCGCCACGGTGGTGCTGGTCGCATCCTCGTATGTCACCTGGACGTATCAGACGCACACCTTCTCCAACTCCCTTGAAACGTTGTTGGTAGCCTGGGGTCTGGTTTTGATTCGTCGCATCGTGGAGAATAAGGTTCGGATCACCCCACGGAGGAGGTCAAGTGTGAGGTGAAGCTCTCCAAGCTAATGGATGTTTACAGAGACGCTCTTCGCTCTTCTCCTGCGCGGTCCTTTCTTTTATCGCTGTCGCCGGAGTCTTCAACCGCATCACTTTCCCGGCCTTCCTCCTTCTCCCAGGACTCCAGTTACTGCCTCATTTCTGGCGCAAGTAGGTTCCCCTCCTCCGTGTGTCGTCACATTGCGATGGTAGACTGATGACTGACTCGATCTCCAGGCCCCTATCCCTGGTTTGCTTCGGGGGGTTTGGTCTTCTGTTCTTCGGTATCGCGGTCCTGATCGACACGGCCTTTTACCACCCGTCCGCGTCGTTTTGGGCAGCGGTCTACGACCCGGTCATCACGCCTCTGAACAACTTGCTCTACAACACCGATCAGTCGAATCTGGCTCTCCATGGAATCCATCCTCGATATAATCACTTCCTAGTCAACCTACCGCAACTTCTCGGACCCGCCTACGTGACGATGATCGCCTCGTCGATGCTGAATTTCCCAGCTGGGTTCTCTTGGCTGAAAGATATGCGCGCCGTTTCTGCCATCTCGGCCACGGCCATCCTGTCCCTCTTTCCGCACCAGGAACCCCGCTTCCTGATCCCATGCATACCCCTCCTTCTGAGCTGCTTCCGCATGGGCCCGTCCCGTCTGTTTTTGGCCGCGTGGGTGATCTTCAACGCGGCCCTGGGATTCTTGATGGGGGTCTACCACCAAGGGGGCGTGGTGCCAGCTCAGATCGCCATGCCATCGATCATCTCCACCAGCGCCATGAAAGCGTCTGGCGGGGAGCTCCCCAGCGTCTCCGCAACGGTGCTCTGGTGGAAGACCTACTCCCCACCCCTGTGGCTCCTCGGAGACAACAGCTCCCTTCCGCTGGACATCGAAACCAGAGACTTAATGGGCATTCCGGGACTTCAGATGGCGCAGGAACTGGAAAAGGCAGTCCCATCCTGCCGGTCCATCAAGGACTCCGACAACGCTAACCACCCGGTCTTCGTTGTGGCGCCCAAATCGGCCACGTTCCTCGACCGATATAAGGCCCCGTCAGCGGATGCGTCCGACCTCCAGCTCGTCCAGCTCTGGTCCTACAGCAAGCACCTGAACCTAGACGACCTCGACTTTGGTGACGACGGGGTCATTCCGACATTGAGACGCGTGATTGGCCGTCGCGGATTGGCCGTGTGGAAGGCCGATAGGATTTGCGATTGACCTGCGTCAGCTGGTCCGGGGTATACCAGCTTGGCCGAGGTGTGCAACCACCTCTCTATCTCTTTTTATTGATTTATTGGTTTTTCAAATGAAAGTCTGGCGCTACCATAATCGTCTCTACACCGCATGTTCCTGCCCTTCCTCTTATTATTCCTCACTCTTCTCGCATTCGCATTCTCCCTTCTCACCCCACAGCTTCAACTTTCACCCCCACGCCTTCATTTTCAGCGATCATCTACTACCTGTTTTGTCGTCCTCACCACATCAAAAACTCACCTCTCATCTCCCCACCCCCACCATATCAATCATATCATGCGTATCCGCTATACCCCCTATTCTCTCGTCTTCCGGACTCCCCCCGCCATACTTTAAAATATGAATACCCATCTATCATATTAAACTTATATCAAACCATATTTCGCACTAAGCGTGTAACTAAGATATCTATCTATCCATCCATATATATATCTACACAACACTCAATTTACTTCCTTCCTTCCCCGCCGACCTACAAAGCTACCAAGCTACCTACCAACTAACCAAGAAAGACATGCATAATTGCTTACATACACACACCTACATACGTACACCACCTGACACATGCATGCACACATACATGCACCCACGTCATGTGTGCACGCACATACGTATGTATAGATGTATAGATGTATTTATGTATGTATGTATATCTCTTCTACCTGACACACACCCTCACACACAATAATACCTACCCTCTAACGAACCTATCATTTCTCTCTCCCGATATTCCTAATATATATCCATAATCATATCTATGTTTATATATCCATTCATTAAAAGAACAAGAGTAAATAAAGTAGATTGGCTCGACCCCATCTCCCCAGACCTTGATTACGAATGTCAGACTGGTTACTTAGGCAGACCCGTTTGGGATATCTACGAAATGATTGCTACCTAAATATCTAGGTACTGTTGAAGTATCTGGGTAGAAAACCGATTGGGTCGTCTGGTGAATCAATACTACTTACCGAGTACGTAGGTACCTGGGGTTTATGCATCTACCTAGATGGTGGGTTGCCTTCTATTGTTGTGTGAGTATGTCATATGACTCGAGGACTGATCATGTGGTCGTGACCACCACGACCACCTGCCCCTGCCCACAATTAGGCCACCCCATCCCTTGAAAAATTACTACTACTACTACTACTACTACTACTACTACTACTACTACTACTACTACTGCAGAGTAAATATGACGGGTCGAATCATCATGTCCCATTTTGTTGTATTAACTAGTGCTTGATCGGAAACGTCATCTCAGAAAAAGAAAGGAAAAAGGAAAGAACAAAAAGAAAAAAAAAAAAAAGAAAGCACATATCGTATGTGACGGGTTAGGGGGAGAATGGTATGTATGAAAGGGATTGGAGTAAGCATGGTGTGTAGAAAGACACCAACATCCTTGGCTGAGGGAACACGGCGAACGGCGATAACAGCTCAGACCACTAGCTCAAGTAGAATACCCGGGCATATAAATGCAGTGGCAGTGGCAAGGGGAGGAGCGAAACATAGAACGTGGTCTGCGGCTCGGTATCATCGATAGGTCTCGAGGGGAGGATAGGATAGTGCCATTTCATAGATCCTCGGGATCGTCGGGGTTTTCGAACAAGTAATTCGCGGCGAGCTCTTCGTTCTTGTCGCAGGCGAAATAGGCCTGGATCACCAGGTCCCGGGAAAATCCAAGTCGGCAGAGCTAGTTTCAGGTTAGTTTTCTGGAGTCGAGGGATGTTTGAAAGGGAGAAAGCATACACGTTCGATGGCGTCTCTCTCCTCCTCGGTGACGTGGATTTGGTGGGTGCCTGGAGGGAGGGCGCCCTCCCCTTCCTCACTCAGAAGCTGCAAGAACTGCTCCTCGTTTTGACCAATCAGCTGGGCAATCTGCGGGTTACCCGCAGCGACCTGCTGAAGGATGGGCTCCAGCATCTGGGGCTGTTGCTGGACCAGCTGACGGAGCTGCTGGAAGTGGGTGTTGTTACGGAGGAAATCCAGGCTGGGAAGACCTTCACCCGCACCCGCACCCGCACCCGCTCCAGCTCCAGCTCCACCGGTACGAGCACCACGAGTAGCACCCCCTTCTTGGCCGCCGGCTTGAGCTGCTGCCTCGAACAGGTTGACGGGTTCGTCGCCACCCCCAGTGGTGCCAGTGGCACCAGTCGCGGCAGGGGCCTGGGGCGAGGCAGTAGCGGCGGCGGCGGCCTCCTGCTGCTGCTGTTGCTGCTGCTGCTGTTCTTCTTGGACGTCCTCCGGAATGCCCTGTACATCGTTAGATGAGGAACCAAGACACAATTCGGGGGCAACGAGAGATGATGTCTCAAACATACATTCAACAAGTATTCGATGGCACGATCGGGGTTGAAGAAAGCAGCCCGCATGGCACGGTTGATATCACTTCGCTGGAAACCCATGCTCTCCATTTGAGCAACGACCGGCTCACTCTGGGTCCCGGCCAACAAGGTTGAGGGGTCATTGAAGGATTCGGCGGGGGGCTGGGAGGCGGCGGGCGAAGGAGTAGCAGGAACAGCCGGCGTCGAGGTGCTGGTGGAAGGGGCCGGAGCCGGGGGAGCAGCGGGCGTAGATGCAGGCGCTCTGGAAGGCGTGGAAGGGGCCTGTGAAGAAGAGGCAGAGGGTGCGGCAGTTTTCGGCTATGGCGACACGAATTAGACTCGTCTCGGATTGTTTTGCTTTTTCCGTAGACAAAAATTTCTGGAAGAAGTCGCATACCTTGGACACCATGCAGACTACGAAGCCCTTCTCTTCAATGTTGTATGTCTCGATGGCTTTGTCATCTTGAAGGATCTTGCCTGGAGAGTGGGATGACGGTCAGCGGATGTGATGTCGACGCCGTTGACGAACGTCTGGAAGAATCAACGGCGCTGAAGACGACTAAGGTGACTCACCCGAATAGATGAGTTTCAGTTGGGGAACCTCCCATCCTTTCTCCTTGGAGATCTTTTCCTTGACTTGGCCAACCTAGAGGTGATTCAATTAGCCCCGCACCGAGAACGCTGGGGACACGAGAAACTGCCATACCCTTTCGGAGGGCTCCGCATCAATTACAAACTTTTGTTGCTTCAAATCCTGCAGAGAGATCAACGATTAGATGACGGACGGGGAACAGCGTTGACGCGGGTGGAGGGCGAAGGTGGGGGGGTGTACCTTGAAAGTGAGCTTCATCTTGCGCCACCAGAGAGGACCACAGACACAGCAACTAGCTAACCAAGGTGGGGGAAAGACGGAAGGTAGAAGGTCAGAGAAACGATGTGCACTCGGAACAGGAGTCTATGAACAAATGTCGAATGCAAAGGGATCGAGGAAGAGAGAAGCAGATGGGGTCGAGGTGGGTGGATCAAGGGAAGAAGAAGAGAAAGAAGAAGAAGGAAGAAAAGTGGGCAAGAAAGTGATGGACGATGATGGCAATGCATGACGCCTGAGAGCCTGAGAGGAGAAAGGCGGAGGCGGTCTGAAGCCACAGCCCAGCCACGACAATATGCACCGCCACATCAACACGACTATACATAGATGGATGGATTGCACTTTGATGAAAGGATGGTGCTAAAGAATTGCAATCTATTCATGACAATTTCTGATGTATATTTCTAACAATGACAATTACCGGTTCAATTCAGTCTCCTGCAATAATCTCCATGGTCAGAAAGGTTGCTGAGTCTGTCCTCAGTGTAAGTGTTGACAATTCTATTGTTTTGCTATCCCATACCATTGATGAAACTGCAGCGGCCGAGTCTCTTTCCTTCTGGAGAAAAAAAAAAAAAAATAAAAATAAAAAAAAAGAGAGAATAATTGGATCATGAAGAGGGGGCACCCCTCGGTTGATGGTATCTGTCTCATCGATGTATCAGATGGCGGTGGGGTCATCTAGGGAGAACTTCTGAGCAATCCCAGACACGACCAGGATCATGATGCCAATCCCCTCTATATTTTGCACATCGACTCTCTATCCACTACTTTCTAGAAGACTGTCACTTCTCTTCTCTTCTTTTCTTTTTTTGGTCCCTGGATCCCCCTCATCCACCCCCCAAGACGAATCCACTATCAAATCACATACATCATCCCACCCGTCCCTAGGATTCTTCAGCTCCCCAAATTGAACAGACGATACGTCACATCACCAAGTCGGGGATTTTATAGTCCATTGGTCGACCCTGCTCTCCCCATCTGGGAATCGAAAATTGGATCACTCTGCCATTTAAAGCTCTCCCGGGACCCCGGTGATCGTCCCGGCCGCTTCACAGGAACTTAGAGAGCCACCAGCCTTGACAAATCGGTCGCTGTAGACCTGTGCCATGCGCCAGTGATGTCTCCTAGTTCCATCCTGTTGGGTTGCCTGGTGAGTTGACCTTATTGGCCTGGCGTGGGCTCGAGGATCGGCCCGGGAAGGACCTTGTGTTAGGCATGCAAGCAGGTCGAGGGACGTGGATGACGAGTATAATCTTTTCGGGGACAGACTACCCCTTGGGGTGTTTCATAGAGGGTTTTCAGGATACCCCGGATGTGACAATGGTGTCCACTATGGAGTAGCGAAGAGAATCATGTGCTGGAGAGGATGGAAGAGAAGGCCTCTGATAAGGCTTCAGACGGTACCTGTCTAGAGATCGGGATGGAACTGGAGATCTGCAAGTAGCATTCCGTCGAGTCTATCGGTGTCGTACTTTTGACTACTGGTCGTTTCTTTTCTTTTTCTCTTTCAAGAGGCCCTGGGGTCTGATCTCGACCAGACGTGGCGATCTGCCACCATTTTCCCACTTCCCTCCCCTGTCATCCTAACCCTAGTCTTGCATACCCATGTCTTTCGCTCCAAACTCCAAACATCGGGGAACTTCTTTCCCCGTCGTTCGCTCTTTAGTCTCTCCTTAGTCTGATAGATAGACTTTCGATCTTCCCAGGTTACTGGGTCTTAACATTCTTTTCGGATATTTACTCCCGTCATTCCCTCGATCGCCTTTCCTTCGTCCAGCTACTTTGTCTATACTCTCGCAGGCCAGATTCCCAATTTCTACCTGTCTGATCATTGTCTCTCTCTTTTCAACCTCTTGGCTTGCCTTGGTCTATCGGAAGCTTCCCTATTCAATCTTTCTGTCCGTGGACGCTGCTATCATGAACGTCTTCCGCTGTTGATGGTAGAAGCCTAACCGTCCACCGATTGAACCGCACCGAATATTTTGGACTCCTTCCAACCCATCGAAAATACCAATCTTTAATTTATACACCACCGTCCGTGGAACGAGCGCCCTGACATTGAGCCAGAATTGATTCCCGCGGCAGCAAACCCCACCAGTGTCCGCTACATGCTTCTCGAATCCCACTGCCCAAATGACTCCCAGCGCGCGCAGATGTCGCCCAATCCACTATTTCGGGGCAGCTTCATTGCTATCAACATTAGTAGTCACGGTCCTCGACGGCGTATGCCTCGCCTCCTCCCGATTCTCTCCTTCTAATACCTCTACAATCGAGGCCGCTATCCTCGGTCTAGGTGCGATCAGCTGCGGGACACTGATCGTATTACTCGTGCTGTGGACCCTCGACGTCGAGAATAATACATTACAACCATGGAAGAACTGGAGGGCCATTACGTACGGCGCCGTGATTACCTACCTCGCCATCGCAACAGCCACAACCGCAGCCCTACTCGCATGGTGTGCCGTCCAGTTCGCAACCGAGACCAGCAACACAGCGGAGCACCAGCGCCGGCAGCCTCTTATGATCTCCCGCTGCGTCATGTGGGCCATCTCCGTCATGGCCCAGGGCGTCCTAGGCGGATACCTCCTGACGGGCCTGAAGAGCCGAGGACGTCGTTCGAGCCGATGGCCCGGCTCCGCCACCCACGAACTGACCCGGTTTCCCAACCGATCAACCTCCAGAGCGCGGGCATCGAGACCGCCGTCATCAAATACAGACTCGCTGGAGCACTCCAAGGAAAGCTACGACGTGCTCCCTCCCCAGCAGCAGCAGCAGCAGCCCACCGCGTCCAGCGCTGCCTCCCGCCGGTCGAACCGCTATTCCGGCCGGACACTCTACCGACACGACTCGAGGCGCGCCTCTGCATCCTTAGACCTGAAACTCGATCTCAACTGCCCGCGTTCGATATACGCCAGCCCCAGCGTAACCCCAGATTTTTTCGACGCGGACCGCGACAGCTGCGTCACCATCGTCGCCGATCACCGTGGGAACGAGCTGCTAAACCAGCGGCCGTCCTGGGACAAGACACCGTTCCAGACAACCACGGCAACGTCATCTTCATCTCCAGCATCATCATCAACAACAACACTAGCATCAGCACCCCAACCAACACAACCAAACGCACCCCCAAAAGCAGTGCTCCCCACCCTCGTCTTCCCAGACGAAAGCAACATCCACCCTCTCTTCCGACCCAGCAGCTCCTCGCCACCACCGACACCCACGCCGGGGACCATCGTGGTCGCGTCGCCCAATGCCGGCCAGACCATCACGATGAAGATGCTGACCCGCGTGCGATCCAACCGGTCTACTCATTCCCTCTACCGGCAGCACCACCACACCCCCCGCAGCCGGTCGCCGCTGTTTGAGCGGATGGATCAGGTAGATCGGGAGCGTATCGACCCGGGGCGGAGCACGACTAGTACTCCACAACTAGTATCATCGTCTTCGTCATCGTTGTTGTCGGCTGTGTCTGGCGATGACCATACCAACAACAAGAGCATCCACTCGAGCCACCAAGCAGATGAAACGCAGATCCCCGGATTCATCATGGCAGCCGACGTGCGGAGTAGCATCACGCGGTACGAGAAGAAGCACGAGCTGAGCGAATCCCCGCAGGAGAGCTGAGCTGTACGTCACATCATTGAGGTGCATGTCATTCTTTACATTTTTCCTTGTGTTATTATTGGTATTCTATCTTTTTGTGGTGCTCTTTGGTACAGGTGCAAGATATCCTCGGTCTAGCTAGCGTGTTTGATATGATTTATATTTTAGAGAGATATATATAGATATAGATATCGGTTTGATGGGATGATCTTTATGGATGGTGATAGAGGCAGTCCAATTATTCCAGACTTTCTTTTGTTGGATATTTCAGCACTGCATATTACATTCTTGGTAGGAAGTGTAAATAGAAGTGAGTAGGGAGGGAGATACCTTATAATACCGGAAAGTGTACGGCCGATCGAAGAAGTGACGGTGTAGACAGCACACGTGCCTCTTTATAGTGAGAGCTTTTCTTGTTCATCTAAGCCCGTCTGCGGAAGATAGACTGGAATGGTTTCTAAGTATATAGAATTCTCCGATGGAACGGTGAGGAGAAAGGGTGGGCAAATGGCGGTCTCTACATGTACAAAGCTTGTTGTCGATACCTTAAGTAGTAATCTTCATACATGCTCATTGAGATCTAGGTAAATCTGTCCCTATACCATATTGTATAGAAGGGTGAGTTCCTTTTCTATAGACTGCCCTTTCTCATCTGATAGAATGAATGTTGTATACAGTGGATGGAGTATAGGTGTAGTATAAAAGGGGTCTAGATTACGTCGTATGGAAATGGTTACCTGTTTTTTATTTTATTTTTTTTTTCTTGCTTATTTTTCAGGCTCCACTGGAGATTTCTTACTCGATGCGGCAATCTTTCAGTAGGCCATGACCGATCTTCTACTTGATACTCAATATTTGGCCTCTATACTATAGTTGATAGATATATTTATCACTGGATGTAAGAAATGATCATGAGATTATAGTATTGATTGTGCTGTCAGTATCTCCAACGATATAAATGGACAATAACTGTAGTGATACAGATAAGTGATCGACCGGAGTCGAGAAATACGGTACCATACCGTACGATGGAGCTAAAACAAGCAAAGGAAGTAGAGGAAGAACTAAAACGAGGATTCATTTCTTCTGCTGAATGGCTTCATCTTCTTCTCTCTCTCTTCCTTACTCTTCTCCTTCCTTACTCTTCCAATCACTGATCCTTTTGGATTCACTCTTCTTCTTGGTTACTTCATACCTCTTTCCCTGTTCTCTTCTTCTTCCTTTCTCTTGTTTTCTTCTTCTCTTCCCCTTCTCCCATCTTGCCTCTTCTTCCTCTCTCACCATCTCATCCTTCTTCAACTCTTAATCCTAGGTTTTTAAATTCCTTCGGATCATCCCGTCATCTTGATCGATTCCAAAGATCAAATCCATTGACTTCTCTCCATCTCTTTCCTGGTGGATCAACTGCAGAGTCTAGAGACAGCCATTGAGTTGTATAGACTTACTCCTTCCGGCGACCAACGGCTTACCATTTAGCGCCTGCGTCGCCCATTCTGATCCACTTGGCCGAACCTCTTTCTGTCTCCCTCTACTTTTAGTAGAAATCATCAATCTACTTCGACTTCATTTCTCCCATTCTCACCCTGTCTGGTTTGCATTCCTCTGGTAAGTCAACCTTCTTTTTTTTCCTACCCCGTCGGTTCATCTTTTTCCTCCCTTTGACTTTGATCCTTTTGCCTTGGCCTTCCCCTGTTGTCCCCACCGTTGCATACTGTTTTCCTTCTTTTTTTCCCTTCTTTTTTTTTACTCCCAACCCAAGCTTCTTCTACACGTTCTTTGCCATCGTCGCGTAGTTTTGACTCCCACTACTCTCCCTCCCCCTCTTGTTCTCCTTCTCCTTCTTTCTCCCCTTCATCTATTGCATTCGTATACACTTCTGAACTCCCATACTCGGAAATCCTTTCTGCCATCTTGTATACTTGCCCATACCCGTGTTTCCTCCCTCTTGATCCGGCCTGGCGCGCCTGTCATCCCTGCCCCGTTGCACATCCCTCCGGCTTGAGAAACGCAATGGTTGCGCTCCATCTAATAATTCCATTTCATGCTTTGGTTGCAACTCGCTTGGTTTCTCCCCCCTGCCTTCGACGCCGTCCATCAGCACCTTGTTGTTTGTTTTAAGATTCTTGTGTTACATTGGTCGATCTCTTTCTCTATCGGAGAGAACCCCATTAGCTCTATCACCTTTCTTCCCTTGATACCTGACCTTCTACTCCTGCCATGTCCTTTCATCTCCCTTTTGCTCCCTTCCCCACATCAGTCTTTGCTTATTCTCCTTCCGTCCTGTCCCTCAATCTTCCGTGTTATCTGTCCACTCTCCATCCAACCAATACTAATCATACACTAGAGAGTGGCGATGGCGGGTGTCAAACGCAAGATGGATGCCACCAGAGCTCCTGCCACTGGCCAATCAAGTGGCAATGCCGCCAACGACTCTACCCCCAATAACACCCCTAGTAAGTTGGACCATAGTCTTGATCCCCCCGGAACCTGCCCATCTCACACGCCTGTAGACTCCACTGGCGATACTTCTCATTTCCGCGTGACTCGAAGTCATCGCGCCAGCCAGGATGCACGTGTTCATCCGACAGATGCTACCAATTCCAGCAGCAAGCACAGTGGTCCCCAGCGACCCTCACGCATCGTCACTCTGAGTACTCGTGCGGTTCGGGGCTACAACCCGGCCAACAACTCCGCCAACAACCCAGCGAACGCCGCCGCCAACCATGCACGTGAGACTCGATCATCTCGCACTCGGTCCTCCATCTCCAGTGCGTCGGCCAAGGCCCCCCAGTCCGAGGACCTCGCATCCGCCGCGGTCCCCGAAACTCCGCGAGCGAAACGCGTGAAGCGCGGCCCGGCGGTCGAGGACACCCCAAGGTCCACCCGTCAGTCGGCCCGCTTGAAGTCTCACTCTCATCCGTCATCGAATGAGTTTCCCACCACGGAGCCTCTCGCTGCGTCGAAGCCCGCCGACTTGAGCCCATCTGCCACGTTCACTCCGAGCGGGAGAACGCGTAACCGGAGCAGGCTCTCGGTGAATGGGGCCAACGACCTCACTGTAGCGGCTCCCCTTCCACCAGCCTTCCCGGCGCCCAGGTCACCATCCCCTCGCAGCGCCCTCCCGGAACGCATTGAGTTCACCCAGCCGTTCGAGGAGAAGAAGGCTCCTCGGGGGCTGGGCGCAAAAACGCATCCACCGGACGACGAACCCAAGAGCGCCCTCTCTCCGGAAGAGACCAAGCCTCGGACCAGCCGGCACGCCACCCCAGAATCGGAACGGCCACAGCCGTCGGAAGCCGCACTGAGCCCGTCCGCGCGGCCAGCAAAGCGCAAATCTGGGGAGATGGAGCCCCGCGACGAACCCAACGGCGCCAGTGGATCGTTCGGTCCCAGTAAGAAAGCCAAGCTGGAAGACGGCGAAAAGGACAGCGCCATGGAAGAGACGTTCCGAGCGAGCGACGAGGGCAAACCCGCATCCCCGTCGGCGGCCGGTGCTGACGAATTCACCGGGGACAACGACTCCCGCCAGGTGACAGAAGACGTGGAAGAGCCAATGACGGAAAACGCCGCGGAATCGACCACCGCCAAGTCGGGCCGTGGGGGTCGAAATCGGGGACGAGGACGTGGCAGCGGCGCCGCACGCGGTCGTGCCGGGATCGCGAAACGAGGCCGTGGGGGAACGCGTAGTGGCCGTGGGGGGCGCGGTCGTCAACTGGATCGCTCGAGCGATGCCGAGCTCGCCCGCACGCCGTCTCCCACTCCAGCCACCCAGCGACTCCGCGACCGGCAACGGGAATTGGACCGCACGTTCCGCAAGGTAGCCGCCGCTCAGCGGCTGGCCCTGGCGGTTCTCGCGTCGCAGTCCCAGAAAAAGCTCGCGCGCGATAAGAATGCGCACAAGGACGTTCCGGAATTCGACAAGATCAACTTGCTTCTCAAAGCGCGGCTTGCGGAGAAGAAGGAGATCCTGCGTCGGGAATATCAATTGCGCGTCGACCAAGAGAACCGACTGTTTACCGCCAACAAGGCAATTCTTGAGGAGAGATCTAGGGTACGTCCCCCCCCCCCCTTTCTTCCTTTCTCTGGCTAATACTCCTCAGTACGCGGCACAGCACATCAAAGACGAGCATCTACTGGCCTGCCAGGGAGACTACATGGCCCTTGTAGAAGGCCGTCGTGCCGCCGAAGATGATGAGCACACAGAGGTAGGTGCCTTTCTTCCGTTTCTATCATACCGGAACTAACACCGGATGTCTAGACTGAGGGTTCTGGGACGGAGCCCGAGCGCGTGCCTGTGATCCCGCCCTCCAAGGGGGTCGTTCGGGGGTTCCTGTCATCTTACGTGCGGGATCCTGCCGGCGCGGCCGCCTACGAACGGGCCGAGTACGGCTGGGATGACTTCCTCCAACGGGCCAAACTGGGCGACGATATCGACCCGCAAATGAAGGAGATGACCGACACCGGTCCATTCGCTGGCCGCTCCGCGGGAGATGTCATTGACCTCTTGGTGCAGGCCACAAACGCCGTGGAGGTTCGCCGTGGGCCTTTTGTCGAGCGGGACATTCGGCCACCCCCCGTCCCGGAAGCGTTCCCCGCGGCGTTATCCGCGCTGGCGGATGTTGCGTCGGCCGAGATGCCCCGATCCTCCCTGTCCCATCTCACCACCCCACAGCCGGGCGCGCATCGAACCCTGTTGCCCCAGCAGCCGCCACCACCCCCCCATGTCGCACATGGGCCCACAGAGCCCCGTCCCTTTGTTCTCCCCCCTCCCACACCGCAGCGCCAACGACGGCTTCTCCCCGCCGCGCAGCAGATCCCATCGATCAACGAACAGCTAGGATTGCCTGGTCTCTTTTCTCCCCGAGGCGGGCCGCCCCAGCTGCCGCCTCCGCCGGGGTCTAATTTTCACCGGCCTCCGCTGCCTGGCTTTATGGCCGGACATCCTCCTCCTCCTAATATGTATTATCCTCCGCACCCTTCGCACCCCCCGCACCCTCCGCCGCCTGGTCCGCCCCGTCCCC